GAATTTGTATGTAGGTTGGAACAGGTAAAAATTTTATATTTTTTTTTTTTTTCTCCAACCAAAAAAAATATTTTTTGGATACCATATGGAAGGGTTAACACCCCTGTAACATTTGTCTTGCTGTCTGTGCCCCTGTGCAGAAGATTTCACCTCACTTTCTGGCCCTGTGACAATTGGATTTTGAACAGTTTTGGTTGTTGGGGAAAACAAGGATTGATGATAAAAGTTCAGTGATAAAACTTTTTTTTTTTTTCTTCCCATGATGACTCTTACAGGAGCAAATTTCCCTTCCTAGGCGTAGATTTCCTCTCACTTCCTGTTGTCTCCCTCCATTTTGTAAGTGTAAGTCGGATGTATGTAATGTACCAATACTGAGTATTTTCATGAGTACTGGAAATGCTCCCGATACCAGAAACCAATACTTTGCAGTGTGATTTGCGTCAGTACAAATTGCACCACAGAGATTAGCATGCGATTTGAACAGGAATGTGATTCTTTGTCATAATCTGAGTTCACACAGACGCAGTGTGGGAAACTGTTATCGTTGACAGTATGCGCTAGATGGCATCTGTTTGGTCAGCACCATCCATGTGATGGTGCTGACCAATCAAAAGCCTTCAAGCCTGAACTGTCATTTCTCTAAGGAGAAGAGAGAAAGCGGCAGAGATTTCAAATCCCCTGCCGCTTTCTCTCCTACCACTGAGAATATAGAGCATCTGCCACCATAGTATCCATCCCCACATGCGCACCATCCACTGTGGGAAACCTCCCTGCACTTCTTTTGTGTTAACTCGGCTATGACAAACCTGGGTTCACACAGAAGCAGTGGGGTAAGCACATGCGATTTGGACAGGAATCGCATTCCTTTCAAACTGTTTTCTACTTTCATTCCCTGTATATTGTGGGTGCTTAGATTGTGGCACCCGTAGTGCTGGCTGCTGTATTCCAGTAGTATATCGGGAGGCGCAGGAGATACCTTCTTTATTCCTTTCAAACTGCATGCTTTATTTGCAGTGTATGGAAGCAAAACGCGTCGCGAAGAATCGGTATCAGCAAGTACTTGACTGAAAGTATCAGTACTCAACCAAAAAAAAGAGGGGGGGGTGTGGGGGTGTATCTGTGCATCCCTAACTCAGGGACTATCTGTATATCTATATCCACTTGCAGACCAGGCCTTTTCTGACACTTTTGTTTACATGTAAAAAAAAATCTGTATTATTTTTTTTTTTTTTTTTTTTTTTTTTTTTTTTTGCTAGAAAATGACCTAGAACCTCTAAACATATTTTTAAAGCAGAGTTCCTAGAGAATAAATTGGGGAGTGCTGCAATTTTTTATATCACATGGTACTTAAGCAGTGGTTTTTCAACACTATTTTTTTTTTTTGGAAAAAGTACACTCTTGAATTTTAATGATCAGAAACTCAATATAATACTGAACGGTTTGGTACAATTTAAAGACTGATGTTACACCGAGTAAACGTAAATGTTATTATCCATAAGCAATGCTTTAAAAGCCTTTACAGGTTACTATTTTGGATTTATAAAGGAAGTCTAGTGCTAGAATTATTGCCCTTCTGATCTGATATTCGCAGTGATACCTCACATGTGTGAGATAATTGCTGTTTGCGTGTGTGACCGGCTCGTGCATTTGCCATTGCGCTCGAGCATGGGGGGACAGGGGTGCTTTAAAATTATAATTTTTTTACACTGGTGCTTAAAATTTTTTTTCTTTTCTCACTTTTTTGGTTATCACAGAGAATATAAGTATCCCCTATGATAGCAATTTCTAGTAACGGGTACTTTTTGCTACTCTGCCCTTCGCAGCATCTGATCACACCAAGATTGATGTGATCAGATGCTTTCCCAATTTAAAAATGGCGATGTTTACATCCAGCGAAACCAGAAGTGATGAATGCTCTATATGATCGAGATGATCAGAGTTGTTCTGGTTTACGGTTACCTCTATGGTTAGCTGATGGAAGTGCCGGCTGGTCACTCTGGTCTTCCTGTCGGATGAGAGAGAGCTTGGGAGAGTCGTTGTAGGCAGCGGGATTGGGGGGACATCCCCTCCAGCTGCTCGTAAAAGCAATCCAGAGGCTAATTAGACCCTAGTATTGCTTTTACAAAGCCATCCACTGGCTCTAAAAACAATACCGGGATGAAGTATGGTTACCTCACTGGTTGTCAAGTAGAGATGGGTGTTTTTTTTTTTTTTTTCAATTTTTTTATTTATTTTTTTTTTATTCGGGGTGAATTCACATAAAACAGATTTGCCGTAGCACTTTGGTGTGTTTTTTTTTTTTTTTTTTTTTTACGAACTTTATTTGAAGTGTAAAAAACATACACTTCATTCACAGCAATGTACAGCAGTGCAGAGAACTACATTACTGTATATTGCTGAGCAATTTGCCACCGTGCGCTGCGTTAAAATGCAGCAGGTCTGCATTTTATCATAGCACGTTGCTGTGCACACATAGGTTGTGTTGCAATGTCAAAAGGATACATAGGAAACAATTGTTTCTTATGTATCCCATTTGTGAAATTTCAGGTGTTCCCATTCAAGTCTGAGTACAGAAACAACCAGTTATGCCTCAAAAGCAGTTCACATAGCTTTTGAAAGTTCAGGTGACCACCTACAAGGGCTCAACCATCTGTAGCTCAACAGCCACCATTGAAATATATGGGATTTTGGATGCTGCGTGCTCTAGAGCTTCAGAATGACTCAGATGTGAATGAGGCCTAAGGGAAGACACCTTCTGCTTCCAGTCGCCTAGGCGATCGGACTGGAAGTGGGAGCGGGTACCTGTCAAATTCAGGTACCCACTCCGGGTATTTAAAAATAAAAAAAAAAAGTGTGATGGGCATCTTTAACCACCTCAATACCAGACACTTTCACACCCTTTCCGCCCAGGCAAATTTTCAGATTTCACTCTTGAAAATTGGTCAGGATGCAACATTGTACCCAAACAAACTTTTTATAATTTTTTTTTTGAACGGCTTTCTTTTGGCGTTTATTTAATTTTATTTTTGCTAAATAAATTAAACTTTTTTTCTTTCATTGTGTAAATGATTGGTCACAGTGAATGATCTTTAATCCGGTAGACTTAGCAGGTGATGAAGCAGCCCATGATTGGGAGGACATCGTATGATGTCCACCCAGGATGGGAGAGCTCCCGCTTGGCCATCATTTGACTATAGGCTAGGAGGAAAATGTCATTTTGCATTTCCAGGCAGGGGGCGCTGGTGAGCCCCACCTGCACCGCCATTCGTGGACGCGGATTTCAATCAATGGGTCCCGGCTGGTAAGTACCTGCCGGCGCCTGTTGATTACCGACAGTCACCAATGGGGGAGGAAGCAAAACAAACAGTCTTCCTCCCTGTCAGCTCAAGCACACTGCACAGGATGGCTGTTCACAGTACAGCCATCTCATATTACCCCTTCCTGCCCAGTGCCATTAGTACGGTGTGTTTTTTTGCACTGATCACTGTATTGGTGTCAGTGACACCAAGTTAGTCTCCACTCCCCCAGTGTCAGAATGTCTGCCGCAGTCCCACTAAAAGTCTCTGATCATCGCCATTACTAGTAGGTGAAAAAGATAAATCCCATTATTTATACAGCCATTTGTAAATGCTATAACTTTCACGTAAACCAATTTACACGTATTGGGATTTTTTTTTTAGCAAAGACATGTCGCAGAATACATTTTGGCCTACGTTTTATGACAATTTTTTTTTTCATGTTTAATAGCAAAAAGTCCAAAATATTTTTTTTTTTCCTCAAAATTGTTGGTCTTTTTTTGCTTATAGCGCAAAAAATAAACGCACAGGCGATCAAATACCACTGAAAGAAAGCTCAATTTGTGGGAAAAAAAAGGACGTAAATTTTCATTTGGGTGCAGTGTTGCATGACTGTGTAATTATCAGTTAAAATAACGCAGCGCCGTAACGCAAAAAATGGCCTGGTCATGAAGGGGGGTAAATCCTCATGAGGGCAAGTGGTTAAATAAAACCAGAGCCTATGCTGCTCTGGGCCAGGAGTGCATAATTCACAGAGGGCAAAGGACAGCAGTAAGTAATGCAGAGAAGGCATGGTCAGGTCAGGAGGAAGTAATGCACAGTTTGCAGGGAAATCCATGCAGCTGCAGTACATTTAAAATATATCTCGTCCTTTGGCTAGGTGGCTCACCGATTGACTAGGAACATCCAGTCTGACACCCACCCATCTAAGCATTTTTATATTTGCATAACCACTGCTCTCATCAGGGCTGCGGGCATTTCAGGAAAGTACGGAGTTCCCCTTCTGCCAGCCGTGATCTGCTTGCATTATATAAAGAAGTACAGTGACCTAGTATTCACATCACTGGGTCTAATAAGGTGTGCAATGAAAATTTGAGAAATTTGGGCTATGTGACAGGCAGAATCTTCTGCTTGCTGCCCATTAGAAGCAGCTCCTATTTGATTTTGAACCGTGGCTCCTATCTGTTAAGTTCCAATGTACCAAGCTGTAGTGCTGTATGCTAATTTGTGATCTGTTCTGTACTACTAAGCTCTAAATATAGCCATATTTGAGGTGACACAACACTTTTGGTTTAAGCTAAATTTGCTATATATATATATATATATATATATATATATATATATATATATATATATATATATATTGGTGCTATATTATTTTGCACTAAATTCCTGTTAACAGTCTATTATTAGGTCTCTTGTTTCATTTGTATTCAGCAATTTGATAACTTGCCAATTGTCTCTGTAATACATTCTTTCTGTGTATGCTATTTCATGCCCATTTCAATGCTAATAACTATATTGGAATAAAAAAGTAGTATGGCTATGAGGACTGGCGATTGGGGGGGGGGGGGGGGGGGGGGGGGGGGGGGGGGGGGGGGGGGGGACCAGGGAAGGCAAATTTTATAGGTAGATTAGACTTCAGCTTTAAAGACATTGTGACCTTTTTAACTAAGATTATCCTATGACTATTTGTTTTACTAGGTCGTACTCTGGAGTCCCCAGGAATGATTTCTTGGGCCCTGTGTTCACCTACGTGTCAGACCTGAATGACATTGAGCTGGGTCACCAAGGGAATGAACACTGTCACTCACATCGGGCCCAGGAAGACTGGCACAGCACAGAAAAGGAACGTGCCAGGAGGAAACTATATGTGGCATCTGTTGTCTGCCTGCTGTTCATGATTGGAGAAGTTGTAGGTAAGATACCTGTAACATTTGTGTTGCACTTCTAAATGACATGTACTTCCCTATTTAAATCTGTGTTAAAATTCTAAGTCAAAGGTCACCAATATGGATTAAAATTTATAGGTGAATACTGGTAGGTTTATATACCCATGGATTATCAGTCAGGGACTCTGATTCTCAAGGAAAAATTCTGCTCGTGGAGTTCCCCTGCCTGTGCTATGTACATAGAGCTCCAGGGGATCTGATCAAAATCTTTAGTAGCAATACGCAGTAAGTAATAATTCTATGAAAGGTAGTTGTAACGATGACCTAGTTAAAGTGATACTATACATATGATGTTTAAAGTACATTATCCCTTCTCTTTATTTTTATTAAATAAAATACAGTGCTATCATTCATATACATAAAGTATTAGTACCTTTTTTCATAATTACTATAAAGCTGTCATGTGACCCAACTGTTTTTCTCAGCCTGTCTACAGAGAAAAACCTAAAAAAAAAAAAAAAAAAAAAACCCCATGCTTCGGAATACAGAGGAAAAAATACAATTGTTTTTAAATCCTCATACAAATATGTATTTTTAACTCTAATTTTTTTTCTGCGAAAACATAGTGTGGGCTATCTAGGGGGAGGTTCTGCCAATAACTGCCTGCTTCATGACCCTCCAGCCTGTGCCTATTGTTTGTATATGCTTAGAAATTACATGGAGGTGACACCTCCATCAGTCACATGTAATATCTCACCGCCATTGTGTTTAGCTGATTAGTGCGAATGCAGGAGGTTGAAGGGAGTGGACTGTCCTTTATCCAGAGTGTATATGCCCACGTGTGACTTTATAATCATGTAGGCTATGCAGATAAGAAAAAGGAGGAAATGAACAGTTTAGAAGGGAACTGAAACTGGAGCATGCTCAGTAGATCTGGCAATGGCTATTCTGTACAATCTCAGGCTACAACAGGGACATAGACAATGAAGGGACATGTACTGACAGTTTTTTGTTTGTGGGTTTAATGACCATTAAAAAAAAAAAAAAACAGGTGTACTGGGTGTGGGAACTCTACTTAAACAATCTTGCAAAATGAGCCATTGCTTTGTGCCTTAGGGTGACTGTATAGTTTAAAATTAGCATGTAACTTTGCCAATGAAAATTTAGAAGTGAAAAATCCATAATCCTTTTGTTATGCATGGCAGCTGTAACGTTGCATTGAGTCATCTTGATTTTAAAGCTATTGCATCTACTTACTGGGTTTTTCGTAAGCAAATGTGTTTTGAAGCATTACAGAAATGAGCAAAGAAATCACTTGGCTCCCCTTGACATTCTATGATTTTTAGGGCCCATTTATGCCAGGTATGGTGGGACTGCTTTAGACGACTATTCCAGCAGAGGCTTTCCCCCACAGGACAAGGAAAAATGTCTTGTTTACTGTGTGCCTGGTTCATACCACTGCATTGCGGTAGTGTTCACTGAAAAGTAGTATTGCATACAGTACTTTTGTGCAGTGCAAGGTCATACAGTCTTGCACTTCGCAAGTTGAACTTAAAGTGGAATTCCACCCGGTAGTTCCAGCTGTGAAAATTCACTACTGGTTTCCCTTAGTTAAGATGCCAGTGTCTGCACCCAAAGCCAGGCAAGAAAATCGGCTCGGGTGTTTTCGCTGGACATGTAAATGTCCTTATTGGAAAAGTCAGCAGCTACTTTTCCAATAAGGGAGTGGTCGGATGTGAAGATGAATGAAGGAGCAGCGCTTCCTGGACTGGATCGTTGTGGGACTGGGACACGGATTCAGGTAAGATACAGCAGTCCCCTGCCTGCCCCTGTACTTAGTGTCCCTTCCTCGCGGCAAATACGCCCCTGCGGGCCGGCTAAATGTCCTCTGCCGGCCGCATGTGGCCCGCGGTCCATAGTTTAAGGACCCCTGATGTAAAGTTAAAAAAAAAAAAAAAAAAAACCGAATTATACTCGACTATCTACATGCAGTGGTAAATCTAAAAAAACAGCTATAAAGAGGGGGAAAAAAAAAGAAAACGTGTAAAAAGACCTAATACAATTTTCAGACAGGACTATATTATATATTTTATATACAATGGATATAAGAAGTCTACACACATCTGTTAAAATGTCAGGTTTCTATAAAGTAAAAAAAAAAAAGACAATAATAAATTTTTTTTTTTTTTCCACCTTTTTTTAATGTGACTTATAAACTGTACAACTGAGTTGAAAAAACAAACTGAAATCTTTTAGGTGCCAGGAAGTAAAAATAAAAAACTAAACTAATATAGTTGCATAAGTGTGCACACCCTTTAACTAATACTTTGTTGAAGCACCTTTTTATTTTATTCCAGCACTCAGTCTTTTTGGGTAGGAGTCTATCAGCATGGCACATCTTGACTTGGCAATATTTGCCCACTCTTCCTTGCAAAAAACACTCCAAATCTGTCAGATTGCGAGGGCATCTCCTGTGCACTGCCCTCTTCAGACCACCCCAGATTTTTGATCGGATTCAGGTCTGGGCCATTCCAAAACTTTAATCCTCTTCTGGTGAAGCCATTCTTTTGTTGATTTGGATGTATGCTTTGGGTCGTAGTCATGCTGAAAGATGATGTTCCTCTTCATGTTCGGCTTTCTAGCAGAAGCCTGAAGGTTTTGTGCCAATATTGACTGGTATTTGGAACTGTTCATAATTCCCTCTACCTTGACTAAGGCCCCAGTTCCAGCTGAAGAAAAACAGCCCCAAACCATGATTCTGCCACCACCATGCTTCACTGTGGGTATGGTGTTTATTTTGGTGATGTGCAGTGTAGTTTTTGTGTCAAAAAATATCTTTTAGAATTATGGCCAAAAAGTTCAACCTTGGTTTCATTAGGCCAGAACATATTTTCCCACATGCTTTTGGGAGACTTCAGATGTGTTTTTGCAAAATTTATCTCGGCTTGGCTATTTTCCTTCATAAGGTTTCTATCTTGCCACTCTACCCCATAGCCCAGACATATGAAGAACACGGGAGATTGTTGTCACATGTACCCCACAGCCAGTACTTGCCAGATATTCCTGCAGCTCCTTTAATGTTGCTATAGGTCACTTGTCAGCCTCCCAGACCAGTTTTCTGCTCGTCTTTTCATCAATTTTGGAGGGATGTCCAGTTCTTGGTAATGTCACTGTTGCACCATATTCTCTCCACTTGATGACTGTCTTCACTGTGTTCCATGGTATATCTCATGCCTTGGAAATTCTTTTGTACCCTTCAACTGAGTGATACCTTTTTAATAACTAGAAAAGCTACAATTTCTGGGGAAATTGTGTGAAGTGTTCTTGCTCACACTCTAGCTTTTGTCACTCTGCTGCCTGCTCACACACACCTGGGTTCCTATGGCAACTCACTCTACAGCAAGGGCAGAGAAGAGCGGTTTAAAAAAACAAACTGCTCCAACTTGCTCACTTCACTGGCGGTTGCCATCTTCAAACGGTTGTAGTTTAAAAATTATACATCTTACACTGGAAAGCTTTATGTTGTGAGAATCACAAGACCCAGACCTACATTGTGATGCATAGTATGTCTCTGAAATATTAAAAATGAAGGCACAGTCGCAGTTTAGAAATTGCCCTTCAAATTTGAGGTGGCTGGAGTGGAGTTTTCAATGAATGTCAATGGGCGGCGTGAGTTGCAAACAAATGGTCATATTGTGAAAACTTATCAGGACTATGGCTTAGTTGTGGACATTTTTAGTGGCAGCAGGGATAGCTGAACATTTTGATATAAGATTTGTGTAGGTGGGCTTGAAAATGAGGGAGTGATGGCAGTTTAGAAATCATGTCCTGATTTTTCAGCTCACACTCTTAGCTTTTGTCAGCTCCCACTCTAGTCTTGAACATTCCTCCATTCATTCCTATGGGACCAATTTCACTACAAAAACGCCAATATTTTGTGAACCATTCTGCGAAATGTTCCACAAAGTAAGAGCACACCAATTGGAAACAATCCGCACGTTTTGGTATATTACTGTCTATGTAGTGTAAAAACTGTGGGAGGAGTTAGGGTGGTAAATTTGGCTATAATAGAATATATATGTGAGATAACAGTAAGTGGTCTTGCCATACAAGAACACTTAATGAGATCCCTCTGATGCTTTGGAAGCTCTCTGCGGACCATGGCATTTGCTGTTGCATGCTACTAAGAATGTCAGGAAAGACGTATTAGAGCAGCTGAACTTTATTTGGGGTTAATCAGAGGCACTTTAAATGATGGCAGGTGTGTATGACTCCTATTTAACATGATTTTGAATGCAAATATAAATAAATTAGTGTAGCGCTAAACATTCAAATAAGACTGGACCACTATAATAAATAATACATAATAAATAAATACTGTGATAAGTGCTGTGATCCTCTCAGTGCTCTTAGACCACTAAATACCCTCGTAAATATCACTCTATTACAAATAAAGCAATATACTCATATTCCATAAAAAATATATTGTGATGGTGCCACTTCAAAAAAAATAATAAATAAATAAATCAATATCGAGTGATAGTGCCACTTCAACTTCATTCAATGTCCAATGTTCAAATCCAAATCCGTCTATTCCAAGTGTTCTCTATAAACATGCACAGTGTTATTTTATATATATATATATATATATATACAGTCATGGCCGAAATTGTTGGCACCCTTGATATTTTTCCTGAAAATCAAGTATTTCACACAAAAAAGGTATTGCATTAAACACATGTTGCTATACACATGTTTATTCCCTTTGTATGTATTGGAACAAATATAAAACAGAGGCAGAAAAGCAAATATGACATAATGTCACACAAAACCCCAAAAATGGGCTGGACAAAAGTATTGGCACCCTTAACTTAATATTTGGTTGCACACCCTTTGGAAAACATAACTGAAATCAGTCGCTTCCTATAACCATCAATAAGCTTCTGACACCTCTCACCCGGAATTTTGGACCACTCTTCCTTTGCAAACAGCTCCAGGTCTCTCTTATTGGAAGGACACCTTTTCCC